ATCATGGCAAGATTGTAAGGACATTGTCATAATGCCAGGCTGCAATTTTTAATTTATTTAATTTAAAATATATGCTTTCAATTTTAGTAGTGTCTTTATGAAGACAGAAAATTTTGTTTCTGAAGATAAACTGGCAAAAATGTTCTAAAGAATTCAATTAACTTGCAATTCATTACATTGTGTGAAAACAGTTTACTGCTTTTCATTGTAAAGAATAACAATGAATTTATAAAGATTTAAAGCAGTAATTCCCAAAGTTTTTTGGGCAACTATCCCCTTAGTGCCATAAACTTATACCCAATGCCCCTAACCCATTTTCTCTTGTGTGAGAAAGGCTTAGAAAAACTCTTCTATGAACCTCATACTTTGTGTCAGATGTAGAAGACAATGTACTGTACAATGCAATGTTTCTTCTTACCCATTTTAACAGAGGAAAGGGAAAGGATGTCAGTGACCCCCAACCCTCACCTATGATTACTGTTCAGTACTCTGCCTTCAGTGCCCCCTGCCACCCACTTGCTTCTTTTTGCCCCTAGATTTGCTCACCACCTACAGGGCAGTAATAGCACCCACTTTGGAAACCACTGATCTAAAGCAACATTTTAATAGACAGAAAAATTTTTCAAATCAGATTTTTATTTATTTGTATTAAAATTAGATCCTTAATCTTATAGTCAAATTGAAGTATGTCAGAATAATGAATTAACGGTGAAAGCTAATTAATCATCACATGTAAAGAAATTTTATCAGGTTTCTATTAGAATATAAAATTAAAGTCAATGGTATTTTGGAATTAAAAAAAACGTAAAAGTTTGTGAATTTTTCATTTTATGATTTAACATTCAACAATATACTACTAGTAGATCTTAAAGAATGTATATAATACATTCAGAAAGAAATGTTAACTGAATTATTAAAATAAATATATTTCTAACCTGGTCTCAAATGTCCAACTGTATCGGCAATGCTTCCTTTCTTTACCTTCTCAATAACTGCACTAAGACGACCAGTTTCCATCATTTTCCCCCCAACTACTTTTAATCCTAAAATGGCAGCTGAAGATCCACCTCTTATACCTTCTTTAACAGTCTTCTTTAAAATCATGTGCCCAATCATTTTTGTTCCATCAGCTGAAGGCTGCCAGGATACTGGGTGCTACAATTAATTAAAGTACAGCAATTAATGACAATTAATGCAGTTTAATAAATAAAGAATGGAATATATATCCACATATTCATATAAATATTGCAATAAAGATATATTACAAACTGAACACAATATAGTTTAAATAATTAAAACAATAATGTTTCTTAAATTCAATAAATCAAAGATAAATGCATCAACACCAAAAATCCAGCAACATAAACTCTTTAATATAACAATGTCATAGCTAGGGTCATTAGCACCAAGGGGAATTCTAATTTTGTGCTCTCAAAAATCTATTAGATATATTGAGATACTAAGAATCACTTTGCTGATTATGTCTCCCATGATTTATGCCCCTGGCATGTGGTCCTTTTGCCAGACCATAGCTAGAGTGCTGTATACAAATATTTTCAACCATCTTAATTAATTAATTGATTAATTTTAAACAGTCATCATCATTCAAAAGTCATCAGATTTTAACCTGCAGCATTCCAGTAGAGATCATAATTAGAATAGATTTTGGATAAAAGGAACGTACATGTTATTGGTTCAGAACACCAACAATACCTGTTGATCTAATACACATACATCATCTGTTACATGTGCTGTTACAACCAATAGCATATATATTCTTGTTCTTTATCATGCTTGCTTTTTATAACAAAAGTATTTAGTATAAATGAACATTTTCTTATTTGAATTTTGTCTAATCAATATTAACACTATAAGACAATTTTGTTTCATATAAGGGCTGTTCAAGAAAGACTTGCATAGTTTTCCCCCCAGTCAAAAAAAACAATGGAATAAAATGAGTAATGAATCAGTAAACAAACTATCTATTCCATCAAAATGAGACAATTACCATATCCTACCGATGATTTGTGTTGTACAAAAACGTAAGAAAATCACATCTGCCTTCAATTGCCTATACAAACATAGATATTTTGACAGAATAGCATTTTTTATGCTATTTTGTCAAAATTTTCCCAAGTGATGTGTTATTAAATTTTTACTGGAGTTGTCCAGCAAAAATTTAATAACACATTTTAGAAAATATTCTCTTGGTTTGAATCAAATTTATAATTTAAATGCAATGGAGAATGAGAATAATAAATGTAAGACAATATAATAATAATAAATTAAATAAAAGTCTTTAAAATATGTTCATGCAAATGGCTATTATTTTATAAATTGTCAATACTTTTTTCAGTTGCCAATACTTAATTTTTTTTATTTTCTCATCTCACATGCCTTCTAGTCTTGTATTCTGTGGCAGCCATATTGGATTTATCATCATGGCAAAGTTTGACATCTCAAACTCTCAGTTATTTTGTTTTAATTATTACTATTACTTTAAAAATTCTTATTACTATTTAATGGGATAAAATACGCACAAAGCACAAAAATGTTAATAAACAAGAAAATAAATGAAGTTTCCCACTGGACAACTCCAAAAGTACATTTGGTAGTCCAGATAAAATTTTGGTTACCTACGACAAGTGGATAATTGCTAATTTTAAACTCTGTAAACTCTATAGAACTGCATAGCAGGAAACATCAATATCTCCATGCACTGAAACAGAAACTGTACCATGACAATACTCATCTGCATGTGGTGCATAGAAATAACAACCTTAACAAATAAAAACTCTTCCACATTCACCACATAGTCCATATTTGACTCTGTGTGATGTTTTTTCCTGTTTCTAATCCCAGAAAAATTTAAAAGACTGTGAATTTCCCTAAAAGGTGTAAATTCAACTCCACAGACAAGATTCTAAAAACAGCAGAAACAATTTTTCAGACCACGCAAAAAAATAGTTTTCAGTATGCCCTTGATGAATGGCAGTACTGCTGGGATAAGTGAATTGCTTCTGATTAGGAGTTCTTTGAAAAAGGCCAAAATAATATTTAAATTAGATGAGTGTAATCTATTAAAACAAATCTGCATAAAACTTTCTTGAACTGCCTCCATATCTGTGATAATTAATTACTTTTAGAAGCATGAATGTACTATTAAAAGTATTTTTTTAATATAACATAAACAAGAACTATATTTGATATAGAAAAATTAGTTATGCTTCTGTATTTTTTTTATTCTTATTGAGTATATACTTTGATAGTAATACTTACACAACAATAAATACAAAATCATATAAAAATATTATGTAATTGATGCTATATGCTTGTTGATCATGTAAATAAAAATTTAATCCAAATCAAAAGTAAAAATAATAATCAAAAAAATTATTGTGACATTAAAAATTGCAGTTTGGCATTGTGACAATCATATTTTAATTTATTTAATTTAAAATATATGCTTTCAATTTTAGTAGTGTCTTGTCCCTGTACATCATACTTTCCCTGAAAACTGAATCATGCTAGTTATCTAACTAACTCCACTCTGGAGAAAATTTTGAATTTAAATCACATGACTCAGTCCAGACAAGACATTCATGCATTGTTAATCAGTGCCTCCTACCCCTAAGCTTTTGATATCTGGTATTTGAACTTTCATCTATCTAACTCTGTTCTTGAGATTAATGGAGGACAGACAGCAGGCAGGCAGATGGATGCCAGGAGAAATTTATAGGTATGCAATTTGAAATTGCAGTCCAACAACAGTAATATTACCATTAAATATTGATAAAAAGTATCTTTTTTAAATCAAAATATTTAATATATAATTCATGTAATAAGCAAACTAAAGCAATTAGTTTATAATAATGTAAGAGGTAATGTATAAGCCATTAAATTATCCCTTATAACAGATGAGCATAATTAATAAAAAATATATTAAAAAGTTTTAAAGAAATGCTTTTTATTCACATAAATGCACTAAAAAGTAAAAAATAAATTTTATTTAACTTTCACAATATTTTTAAACACAGAGTTTATTCCAACTCAGCACCGTGGATGAAATCTATACTCTCTAGAACCTGTAAACGGTGCATAATGCATATATATTATATATCATGGTTGACAAATGTTTTCAAACATTCACGCTGTTCTTCTTCAGGTCAACTGGTTAAAGAATTTCACTGGATGGAGTGTATGTTATTCTGGGGGATTAGGTGTCATTCCGGCGAAGTCGGTCTTCCCTGACATGCGCGGTTGTGCATCAGGGAGGTAGCTGCAGTTCGGCATCTAGCAGGAACTGCCAGGCCAGGGATAGAGTCAGCTCCTCCTTTAGGTTGATGCATGTGGTCACTCGGCCGGTGTTGTATATAGCTATGGCCTCCAGCCACCTGAGATGTTCCTGGTGGGGTGTGTTGACGATGATTGTGGCTTTCTTGAATCATGGCTCGACTTCAGAGTCTGATGCATATGCGGCTAGGGCGGTGGTGAGCCGCCCATGCCGGATATCTGCCTGGTGTTCTCTTATATGGGTTTTATCCCATCTGTTGTCCCTGACCAGGATAGAATAGACACCAGGGAGTCTGGCGGGTCTTTCTCATGCCCTACAATTTTCCGTGTACTGCGGGATGACACCTGATCCCACAGAACACTCCATCCAGTGAAATTCCTTAACCAGTTGACCTGAAGAAGAACAACGTGAATGTTCGAAAACGTTTGTCAACCACGATATATAATATATATGCATTAACCCGTTTAGTTCTTCGCCAGAGTTAACTCGGGCACGCTATATAGCCTTACATAAAACGTGGTCCTTATAGCCATTTTTGACAAAAAATTTTTTTTTTGAATTTTTGGAATGTTTTTTAGGTCCCCAAATTTTTTCAAAATTTTTTGCCCGCGCGAAAAAATTTTATCGCGATTTTAATGAGCCTATGTGAAGGCTCGATTAAGGCTTAATTGTTTTTTAATGGGAGTTTTTTATCAATTTTATTTCATGGTTCCTAAGTTGTAGCGCACTAATTTTACTTCGGTAAAGTTATTTAAAGCTAGTTTCTGATGTCAAAAACGACCTCCAAAAGTTTTTAAATTTTTTTAATTAATATATTTTATTTTATATTAATTTAATTGATTAGGGGGGGTCGGAAATCGCAATAAAATTTGTAATTTTTTAAAAATATTTGAAAATATATGCAAATTTCGATGTCACCCTACTTTAAACCCTTGTCCTCCCGAGACTTCTATGAGAATGTCCCGGGAAATCCGACTCCAGCTGTGTTCAAGGTCATCCAGCTGTGTAAACAATAACTCATCGGTGTTAAATTTCACAGAAAGGCGAGTTAAAAAAAATAAAATTTGAAACTTTTTCTTCAAAATTAACGCATTTCTTTCGTTTTTTTTCTGGTTTAAGTATTTTTTATGTTTAATTACAATTATATCAAAAATTGCTGGGAACTTAAGGTGTTAAGCACTGTTTACAGGTTCTAGAGAGTATAGATTTCACAATATTCTTGGTATTATGTGACCAAAAGTAAAATTGTTTGACATTCAATGTTTAGAAATATTCTTAGTTACACATTTTATCAATTATTGTGAGCTTTCCAAGAGTGCTCCATACTTTTACTTTTTAGTGCATTTATGAAAATATAAAGCATTTCTTTTTATAAAAAAATAAAAAATATTAAAAAAGTTTTAATATTTTCTACTTTTAGTTTTATATATGTAACACTAAATTATTAATTCTTTTTGTTTTAGCATTTAAATTAATTGGGAAGTGGGTAAAAAATTGAGTTATGGGATTTTATGTAGACAGTACAACTAAAAAGAGTCAAGGGTTTGCCCTATGTTTAGCACCATCTGTTATCAGCTTTATGGAAAAATATTTACTTAAAAATACAGCCACTAGGACATAATTTGACATTGTTGTCCCCTTAATGTGCACGTTACATAAAGTTTCTAATAAATTTTGAAAGTTAAAAACAAAGTGCAATCATTTTATTTCAATTATAAATGTGATTACAGATATGGAATGTAGAATTGACAATTACATCAAAGATACAGCTCTATGAGCTCTCCATCTCCATGTTCTAAAAACTGCATTCACTCCACAACATATTTGATGTAATGCAAATGATCTTGTCACACAATGTGAA